TTTTTTTTTTTTTTTTTTTTTTGTCTTTTTCCGTGTCCGGCAATGGATCGCAACCCTCAGTGTCGCCCCCGTACCGGACCGGGACCGGCAACGGGATCGCAACCCTCGGTGTTGCTCCCACGCCTCGCTCAGCCAGTGAGCGGGAACCGGTCTGTATGTGGGATCCGAACCCTCGGGCGGGAGCGTCGCCGTGCTTCCCAAGCGGCGCACTATCCAGTGCGCCACCGGGCCGGCCCTTATAATCAGAACTATTGTTAGATCAAGCGATCTTTAGAAACTAGAAAAACAAGACTATGTTTACTTAAGTGCGTTCTCTCACATAAGATGGTTAATAATAAAAATAGCTCACGATTCCAAAATTTCAAATTTTATGGAGACTATTTATGAATAAAATATCCAGAATATGTTTTCTTCCTAATCTTTCTTTTTAACTTAACCACTTATGGTAACAACTGGGAAAAATAGACAGGAAAGCATAGGAGAGAGTTGAGGCTAGGACAGGGAATATTATTTGAGGAACTAAATCTTCTGAAACATACACTGATATATCATCATCGTTATATGTACAACTTTGCAAGTAGTGTTTGTATATATTAAATCATTATTCAAAAAAAAGAGCTAATGTTTCAAAGTTAAATATAACCAGTGTTCATAATAATAAATATTTTAATTATTAGTCTCTTTTTGCCATCCTCTCAGATGAAAATATTCAGTTATAGGAATGTCCCAAAGTCTCTCATCAATTCTTTCATACATACTCAGCATATATTTTTGTCGATAAATATCATAAACAAAACAACACAAAAGATTAGCTGGGAAAACCTTTCAAATAAAGAAGGGATTTTGGAAAGAGATTCAATATGCTCAAAATCATTACTTTATCACCAATATCACTATGTGCTAGGCCACTGCAAATATAAAAGAAGAATTTGTTTATTGTTATATTAAATATTTGTATCCTCTTTATCCTTTAGGACCATTCTTGATGACCCACAAAATCTATGGGAAGGAACTCACCAACTTTTAATATTTACCTTTAATTGCACAAGTACTGGAGAGCTGAAAACTCCTGGAGGGTAATTTAAGGATATTCGAGAATCTATGCTTGACTTAAGAGTGATGCCTTTCTTTGTTACTGTGAAGGACTCTTTCTTTAAACAAGACACAACAGAAAAGATACCCAACTTGTAAATTTTCACTGCAGCACAGGTCCCCTGTATGGAGTAAAGGACATTAAAACAAGCTACAGCACTGTTTTGAGACATACATGCTGTACATACTCTGTAGACTGTGAAAAAGCTATGTGCTGTCCATGTAATTGCCCACAATTTGAGATAATTTCATTAAACTAAAATGGATAGTTTTTTCATGAGATGAAATAGAAGTAGATAATTGAGTTTCTTAAATTTGGACTACAAGATAGCAAAGAGAGAAATAAATGTATTTTTAAATTTAAATTAAATCCCCCCCCAAAATGTGTGTGTATACACACACACACACACACACACACACACACACACACACACACACACACACACACACACACACACACACACACACACACACACACACACACACACACACACACACACACACACACACACACACACACACACACACACACACATATATACACACACACATATATAAAATGGGTAATTATATTTAGTGTTTTCACAAATATTAATTGCTTCTGGAATCCTAGCTTCCTTTAGCTAGAATGGATTTTAAATATTGACCTTTATCCAGAACATTCAACACCATTTCAGAGAATTCCATGGATAGGAATTTCATTATTGGCATAGTTTACTCAAATGCTATAGCACCTGTACTGTCAGCAATTCTTCCTCCTGCAGCTCACAGTCTCTTAGGTTGCCCAAAATAAAGTTACTTGCTCTATTTCTCTCCTCCTTGCAGTGGGAGCAGATGAATGCAGAGAGACACTTGTGTTTCTTTTTTATGTAGTGACATTCAAATTTGTAATGCATATATGCAGGCACATTTTCAGGCTTTTTTATTGCACAGAAAGGGAACTGAGTACATAAATGAAAACAAAATGATCTACTCATGTAATCACCAAAGCTTAAAACGAAGGGCAGACTGAGAAGTAATTTGGTCTATTCATGCTTCCCTGAACGCCAGCCAGGCTCCACCCCAGCATGAGTGGATAATCATGCAGACACACAAACAAACATTTCAGGGACAATCACAAAGGAAAATAATCTATCATTTGAAAACTGACTAAGGAAAAGATTTCACAATATCACCACATGAATTCGTTGCTGGGAAAATTCAGGGCATGATGAATGTTCTTAATTGGCCAGAGGGAAAATGGTGAGAGGTAAGAAAGAAAGGTCTTCTGGGAACCAGTGGTGGTTGCCATGCATTTAGACCACATTTGGCAAGTACTAAGGAACCAAAAGGGTTTTTTAAATTATAAGTTTTAAATGTCATATGACCCCCATAAAAATTTGGAAGAAATCCAGAGTTTAAATTTTCTTGAGTTAAAACTAAGATAACTACCCTTAGAATAGTATAAAGATAAAAGTATATGCCTTTAGTTTTTACAATAAACTATAATTCTCTTATTTTTTCTTTTAACAATACATATACTAAACATCTTCCAAACCCATTTTGTGAGAAGTACATGTGCTATGAGCTGTTTTTGCTTTTACTGTGACAGCCACACAGACTAGTTGTGCTTAAAAAGCACAAGGGCAATGCTGATCAGACTACTCTTATAGGCTTCCTGGACAAAATATAAAATGTATTATTTGCATGAATTGAAGTAATTAGAATAGGCTTGGCTTTCATATTCAACTATATACAATCTTGTTTGTAACTCAGAAAAACCAAAGTCAGAAAAGGATGACATGTATTGTAAAGAATTTCTTGTGTGTATACACTTTTTTTACATTTATTTCCTGCGATCCTCTTCAAATAAGGACAACTTACATAAAGCTTAAAAAGACAAATATTTTAATTGTTGAAAATAAGTTCAATGGCCCACAGAAGAACCTTAAATATTAGTCCCCGTCAACTCTCTGCTAAATTTAATAATTGTGCATGTTCTGTCTTCACAACGTATGAATTTGTGACCACAGAGAACCTCAGTTATTACAATAAAATCTGACATGAATAGTGATAATTTATTATCAACTAATATGTGTTTACTGGCTTCCTTTCATCTTTTTAAGTATATTATTTCTTCAATCCTTACAATCCTATCAAGTAGACACTATATTGTGTTCATTTTTCAGATTAAGAAATTGAGTTACAGTAAGATTACATATTTACCCAAGTTCACATAGCAAGAATATAGAAACCAGGTTTCAGATCTAACCAATCTTCCTCCACAGCCCACATCCTAACTAACACATATACTTCCTTCCATGTGCAAGCTAAATTTCATTTATTAACTTAATAACTATCTCAAGGCATACACACACACACACACACACACACACACACACACACACACACACACACACACACACACACACACACAAGAATTTTATATATTTTCCTGTCCCATGGATGTAAAGAATAAAGCTACTATCATTGGGGAATTCTAACATTCTTAAATTTAGACAGGAGTTCATCACATTAGAAATGTTGATCTACAGGATAAACGTAATTAAGCCATGATGTTGGTTTTGTTTTCAGGTGAAAAAACAACATTTGCTCTGTCCTAGACTCAAGTTCTTCATTCCTAACTTTGGCCACTAATTTCTGCTCTTTGATCTTTTATGAATACCAAAAAAAGCAAGAATACACTAGCACAAATCTACCAACCCTTCCATTTGTTACCAGTGGAGCAATTATATCTATACTACAATCTGTTAGTCTGAATAATATTTAGAGAGGAGCCAGACAACAAATGTAGATATAGCCAAGTATTTACCAACCTTGTAACTTCCTCTCATTCCTTCCAGTGAATTTGGGTGTAAGTAACTTGATTGGAGGTTTACATCAGACGCTTTCACCATGATGTCTCTGTAATTTCCCCTGTAACGTGCAGTAAATGGAATTGCAATGCATATTGGAAATGGAATTGTCTTTTCCCTATCTGAGCACTCAATGATGATGACATTGCTGACCAACTCTTCATTATCACTCACTATTAAAGAACTCATACTATTAATTATTCGGCATTCTATTTGTTGCAACACGTGTGATGGTGCTGTAATATAACAAGACACTTGAGGGTCAATGTCATCACTCTGCACATCAAAATACCTGCAAGGGAAAAAAAAGAATGTTATTTTTCCAATTATTTGATTTGCGTGCTTCATAGCCAAATTCAGAAAGGCACAAACTCTAGAAACATATTGTCTTGGTTGGTGTGAATACCAGTTCTCCCGCTTATTGACCCTGTTTATTGACCCTGTGACTTTGGGCAAGATACTCAACCTTTCTGTGCCTCAGTTTCCTCAACTGTAAAATGGTGACAAAATACCAAATAATACCTATCTCATAGAAAAGTCATGTGAATTAAATGAACTATTATATATTAAGTAATTACAAAGAGCCATGCCTGGTATACAGTAAGTATTGTATATGTTAGCTATAGTTACTGTTGTTACTATTGTTATTACTATTATTACTTAAGTGATTGATTCATTCCTCAGTTTGGTTCACTCCACAATAAGAATATGAAGATTGCTGAAGCATCTTGATAAACCAAATACTAATACCTGGAGAGTTTCCCAAATTGTATAGAGAGGGAGTAATCATATATGAGGTATTAAAATTGTCTAAACACACTAAATAAAATAATAATGTTTATTATATTTTTTAGAAAAACTGAGAAGAGTACAAAAATACTGTGAATTTATGATTAATCATAGTAACTAGGAAGAGTTATTTACAATCCTCAAAGAATGAATCCAAAAGCTTATTTTGACCATTAATTTTACTCTTGTTTTTTTTACTATCATCTTTGCCAAAGATTTTAGAGTCATAGATTTGAATTCAATTTGAGCTCAGTCACTTACTATTTGTTTGACCTTAGATATTAGTAGTTATTATTAAAATAGCTAATATTTTAGTGCTCTCCATAGGCCAAGTTTTTAGACCACGTATTATTTCATTTAATCCTCACAACTATTGTGTCAGGCAGGAACTACTATCATCATCATTTTATAAATAAGGAAACTGAGGCTTAGAAAATTTAACTTTCTGAAGATCCCATAGATGGTAAGCTTTAGAACCAATAATTGGCATTATCTGTCTTTAATGTGAATGCTCAGACTCATGAATGTAATATCATACTTCCTCAAATTATTCCAAAGTACTGCTTATTTTACTCATTACAAATTGAAACTAATATCTAATCCATAATAGTGTGAAGATTGAATAAGATAAAATATTTAAACGTCCTATACAATGGGTTAGCATAAGATGGGTGCTCATTAATGTTGGATCTCTACATTAAAATTACCAACCAGAGTTTCTCCTTTTCTTGCTACTTCTCATTTCATACCAGTGAAATGATTGAAACGTATTATCTACATATAACACAGCATTCATGTCCAGCTCTAGAATAATCAAGTTATAGCTGTTTTTCAATTATTGGTAAATAAAATTTTAAATAGCACTTGAATATAGAAATCTAAAAAAATATGTTAAAATTGCAGGGAGGATCATGTATTTACACTTATAATTCTGAATTCATAGAGTTAGAGGAAATAGAAAATTACCCAGCACATTGGTCTGCTTGAATAGTCTCTGCTGCTGGTGACAATGGTAATTCAGAAAATGAGAAACATTGTTTAATAGAGGATACAGTGACCCAGCATTGCATAACTTCTGGAATGTTTCTGTGCCCTGGAAACCATGTTGATACACTCTTCTTCCAGAAGGTATGTTTCTCAACTGACAGATGAAGTACGGCAAGGACACCTGTAACTGGTTCCCTTCCCCCTAGCCCTAATTGAATAGATCTAGCCCAGCTGGTCTGTTCCAGTCTTGTTTCTCCTTCATGTACACACTAGGACAGCTACACTAGGAGAGGTAGCCTTCTGTTGGAAAGCTGTCCACGGAGGGGGGCGGGGATCACAACAGATTCTGAGCAAGGTTTTGTTTATCACACACATCTTTTATGTGGCATGATGGCTTCCTAGCCTGAGGGCTTGCAATGAGTAGTCATCTTCTTAAACATGCAAGCCAAGCACAATTGGTTCGGATGCCACAAAGGGGAAATCACTAAAGGAGGGAACACCTAAAGGAGGTATTAAAGGGAGTGGTTCAGGCAATGACTCATTAACTGATGCTCTGAGTCATTTCTGAATGTGAGGATATGAAGTGTCAATGTTTTTTCTCAAGTGAAACAGATAAGCACATATTGACTACTTTAAAAGTTGTTTTGCAGGGGCAGTTAATTCTTACACACCAGGGAGGTCTTCCTTGAATTGAATGTTCTCCTTCACAGAATTCTTTAGATTCTCTGACCTGTTGGGACATCACAGCTAAACTAGCCCAATCTTTGCATCCTTTAGATGAGATAACTAAGGTCAAGGTAGGCGAAATGACTTGCCTAAGATCATAGACTCAGTTAGTGCTGTTGTCCTGGAAATGGTATCACACCTGAAAAAGCACCAGCACATCACAGCAGAGAAGGGGGGTAAGTGAAAGATGATAGTAAGTGGGACGCAGAGAAAGTGAGGGTTGTTGCAGGTGAAATTAACATTCTAATATTTACCTGAGCATGAACATCTGCAAAGGGGCATGGTGCTAGGCCCTTTATTTGACCTTCCCAAGTTTAGGAAATATGTATTATTTGTACAATCCAGAAACTGAAGCTAAGAAATGAAACAAGTTGCTCAGGGTCACAGAACTAGTATATAATAAAATAGAAGATAAAACCTAAGTTTGTCTGATTCCCAAAACAATTTTTTTTTTTTTTCACTGTTCCCCACTACCTCCCAAGAGTGTTGTTACCTGGGAAAATACGGTTTCTGAATATTTTATTTTATTTGGACAAATAAGGGATTATTACCTCATTGTATATGGTAGATAATTCATAAAATAGATCAGTCTTTCTCATTTTTGTGAAGTCATGGGCTCTTAGAGAATCTAATGAAAGCTCTGGACCATCTCTAAAGGGATAACATAGGTATGAATATATACATTCAATTTTAAAAACCACTGAATCTTATCCATGAGCCTCCTAGAATTCTATAGACACAGGTTATAAATTCATGATGATCTTCTGGAGAATATAAACAAAATACATATCAGAGGCTAAAAAATTACTAATTTTTTAACAGCCTGCAGCCTCCTAGTTTTTTCTCATTATAATTGAAAAAGTAGTGATTTAGAAAAGTACTCATTTTCTGGACAATTGTTCATTTTAACTACTTTCTTATCTAGTCAGTTCCTTGTTCCTTTAAAGAAATATTTAATATGTTTATTTCCTAAAGCTGTAATAAACAAGCAGTATTAGTAATAGAGGCCATATAAATTTTTATAGGAGTAATTTAAGCTGAATTATTGATTCGCAATTCTTTTGGAGATATGAAGTGGGAATATAAAATTTTATTCATATGTAAATACTATGTATACTGCTATGATGTGAATGTTTGTGTCCCCCCAAAAATTGTATGTTGGAATCCTAACCCCAAGGTGATGGTATTAGGAGGCAGGGCCTTTTGGCAGTTGATTAGATTAATGCCCTTAGAGAATAGCCCAAGGGAGCACGTTCACTCCTTTCGTGAGGACACAGCAAGAAGGCATAATCTATGAACCAGAAAGCCCTCACCATACACCAAATCTGCCAACACCTTGATCTTGGACTTCCCAGCCTTCAGAACTGTGAGATATAAATTTCTGTTGCCTAAAAGCTAGTTTATGGTATTTTGGTATAGCACCCTGAAAGAACTAAGACATGTACTAACTACAGTAACCCACAGAAGTAGGTACATATAAGCACTTCTCATATTGCATTTACTTACTCCTTTTCCATTATGTTATTCTTCTGCTTTAGACTCTCTGAATCATTGGGAAGAAGACTATTCACATATTTATTGGAGATATCACATGTTTTTGAGGATGTGGTCATCTCTTCTCTTTGGCTTTCTGAGGTCTCTTGAATTTCTCTTTCTGTTGCCTGGATTATGTCATGAATCTCTTTCCTGTTGCCATTTATGTCCTCAACAGTCATGTGTTCTATTTGTTTATCATCTCCATTTTCTGCATTATTTGGGAACATTTTGTTCTTTGACTCTCCATGCCCCGTTATATTCCCATTCAATGATACATTGTTTTCTTTTTCCACTAATTCTGAACTCATAAGTGTTTTGTTTTTTTTTAACTGGACCTGGTTTGTGTAAAGACTTTCTTCTCCATTGGTGGGAGAAACAGGAGCTGTTTCTATGACATTTCGTTCCTCTCGTGCAGCAATGTCTGCTGCTTTGGTATCTTGAATGGTGGACATTGTCTGCTGTGGAGTACATTCATCGTCCATGCTGCATAAATTACACATCTCCTTTTCTTCTTTCTTTAGAAGTGTAGCAGTGTTTCCCAAATGTTCCTTTATTTTCATGAGGCAGTCTATGAAAGTAATGATTTCTACACACACACACACACACACACAAAAAATACAAACTAAACCAAATTATTTCTGCACTCACATATAATGAGGTATGGCAAAATAATCCCCAAAACCTATAAAGATCCTTACCAGGCATTTAAGCCAGCTTTCTAAAGGAGAAGTCATTTGTAAAACTGTCAGTCTTTTAACACTTCTAGGAATTGGAAACAAACTACTTTTAACTTAGTAGCAAAGAGTAAATCTAATCTCTCTTGCTTATAAAAGTGCTTTGAATATTTGAAGACAGATATAATGACACCCGCCCCCCCAACCCCCAACACACAAATAAGAACTAAAGTCAACAACTTCCTCAATCATTCCTCATTTGGTATGATTTTGAGAGTAGTTCCTTTGACTCGGAATGTACAATAGTTCATCAATTATCCATTTAAAATGCTGGGCCTAAAATTAGTCGAACACCCCAGATGAGGCTTGGGTACCATAGCTACACTATTTCTGCTAACGTAGATGCTATATTTTGGGGTGTAGTTTGCTGCTCTGAGAATTGAATTAGATTTACACTATTCCTTCTGCTGAGTTTGTACTCACTGGAAATTTTTGAATTAGTCTTTCAAAGAATAACTCTGGTCATACCAATTCTCTGATTGGAACCTGTAGTGGCTCCTCCAGGACTATTGTACTAATCATGTCAAGCTTCTTCACTCTGGTGTAAACTGTCATCAGAATCTGCTCCTTTGTAATGTCTCACCCAATCCCCATTTCACAGCATTCTCCTATTTGTCCCTCTTCTTCTCACAGCTTAGGTCCTCAGATGACTTCTTGCAGTTTTAGCACCTCTCCGATCTTTAGAATTAAATTCTGAACTAAAGAATATGTGATTTAAGGCCCCGTGGCTCACTGTTTTTAGAATCATCACCAAATCATCCTTTCGCTAGTCTGGGCTTGTCTTTGGGCTCCAGTTCTAACAATTTTTTTTTTTTTTTCTGTCTACTACTTGAGACTCCGTCTTTAGTTTGAACTCTTGTTCTAGTCTCTGAGTCCTTCTTTTCCCTGAATATGTACTTGTCTTGCTATGTTGCCTAGGATTATGTTCCAGTCTCTCTGGAGACCGGAGACCTGGTTATGATCTCTGGCTGGTGGCTTCTGGATCATGCTGCCTCTGGACAGTTTCTCTGATGCTCACTATTTTCCCTCCAGGCTAAATTTCTTAGTATTGTCTACTCTGAATTCCTGATTGATGGGACGTGCCCACTTGCCTTGACACTATATTATTTAGAGTTGGATTTCATGATGCCACCTATATTCTTATCTGGAATAGCTGTTGTTGTCTAAGCTCATGTTCATCAGATACCACATTCTTCCTGCCTTACCATACTTCTCAGCAACCACAATTGGACCGATTCCCAAGAACTGTCTCCTCTCCCCCTTATGTGTGGGTGTCCAACTCCTTATCCCAGCCCACCCCAGTCTTTTCAGTGGTTTTGCAATTAATAGGTCCAAGCTCAAATGACTCTAGAGGTAGAATATTATGTTCCAATATGAAAACAAAAACAAAAACAAAACACTGCTTACTCTGCCTCAAACTAGGCCCATAATTTTCTACCTCTAGGTCTTCGATCCTGCTAATCATACCTCAAGACTCTCAATTTCCAGCTGCATAAACCCAACTTATTCTTTAAGCTTCAGTTTTACCAAAATTCTCAATACCCCACCAAAAATGGGATCTTGCCTGCTTCTGAAGCCCCAAAGCACTTCCATTGTATGTCTCTAATGCAGCTGGTCTCAGTGATGTCCCTTGCATGATTGTACATTTGTCTTAACCTTATTACCTCTATTACACTGTCAGCATCTTGTGGACAGAGACCCAGTGCCTGCCTTAGCCTTGTTTGTATGCTCATAGACCCTCTTGGAGAGTGCTCCAATCAATATTCCTTAGAGAAAGAACAAACTAAAAAAGCACTTGCCTTGTTTCCAGGTAGACTGATTCTCCTTGTCAAGCAGTATGTACAGCTGCTGGCAGGTGGAGTGCAGGGTCCCTGCGGTGTGCTCCAACAGTTGGTGAAGGGCCCCACTGAGCTCTTGACCCAGAAAGACCACTGTGGCTATCCAAGTTGCCCCACCAGCCCCCTCACAAAGGTCATCACCCAGAAGTGCCTGCTTAAGCATCTGGTTTTGTCTCCAAATCTGCTTCAAAATTTGGCCAAGTTTACCTGAGCCCATGTCTTCTATATCCATTTTGTGCTGCAAAAGTGATAAGCTGCTTTCCTGCCAGCAAAGCCTAAAGGTTTAGCAAATTCAGACTTGGCGATGGTTATTTCTCCTAAAATCTAGGAGGTGATCCAAGTTGGCTAGTCAAGCACTTTTCTTCAACATAATAGTTTATTCAGCTTTTTGTTGACTAGTGAAAAGTTACTAGGTGACCGAAGGAAGGGCGTTCCTGCACCCTGGGTTCTATTGTGTACAGAATGGATTAATCACAGGGATAGAGCAAGCTCACACAATCCAACTCTCCGTGTAATTTATACAAATTCAATATACCGTGGAATCCCAGAATCTTTTCAAGTTTTGAGGCAACAAAATATGGATTTCAGGTAGGATGAGATGTTTATTAATCAAAGATAAACGGTTTTGACAATATTGTTAATAAGATTCCTGTACTTAAAAATATTTATGAATAATGGGCCGGCCCGGTGGCGCACTGGAGAGTGCGCCACTTGGGAATGTGGCGGCGCTCCCGCTGAGGGTTCGAATCCCATGTGGAGACTGGTTCCCGCTCACTGGCCTGGAGAGTGCGCCACTTGGGAATGTGGCAGCGCTCCCACCGAGGGTTCGGATCCCATGTGGAGACCGGTTCCCGCTCACTGGCTGAGCGTGGTGCGAGTGCAACACTGAGGGTTGCGATCCCGTTGCCGGTCAGTAAAAAAAGACAAAAACGGAAAAAAAAATATTTATGAATAAAATAATGTGATATTTAATTTGCTTCAAAATAATCTGGTAGAGTAGGGGTGGGTATAGATGAAATAAGATTGGCTAAAAATATTAATAACTACTGAAGACAGATATGGTTACATATGGGGGTCTTTATAATTTGCTCTAATTTATATATATATATATAAATTACATATCTAATTTATATATATGTGTGTATATATATATATATATATGTTTTGGGTTTTTGATTTTTTGTTTTTTTTGGCACCTGGCCAGTACAAGGATTGAACCCTGGGCCTTAGTGCTATCAGCACCATGCTCTAACCAACTGAGCTAACTGGCCAGCCCTTTAATTTTTTAAATAATGAGTTAAAAGAAAAAAATTCCTCTGCTGGAGTGGAGCCTATTATCATTGGTTAGGTAAGTATAATTAGTACCTTCTTATATAGTAAGTCTGCAGTAAGATTGAGATAGGGACTTAGCCTCTTCACTCTCTGATAATGTCTCTCTAATTGGATAAAATGCACTTTTACTAAAAGAAAGCAAACCTGAAGAGTGGCTTCCTCTGAACTAGCAAGGAGACTTTCTCATGTGTAATTAAAATTCAGATACAGCAAACTCTCACTACTGCTGTCCCCTTAGTGGGCATGTTATCTATGGGACCATTGCAATATAGGAATTGATATGGGGAAACCTGGGGGTGCAGGTGAAACCAGAACAGCCTGCCTCCTTTTCTGCAATCCCACGCACTGGAGGGAGAGGGCAGTCAGAATAGTCCAGAGAGGCTCATGTTCCCTGTGAGGTTCTGAAATGAAATGAAAGCTTTCCAAAGGAGAGCCAGAATGCTTCCCTCCCACGGGCAGCACGTTATCTCATCTTCAGCAATGGGGTTCTTAGAGCTACACTCGTGATGCTGGAAGATGAGACGGGAGAAACAGGCCCAGCGAATGAAGAATGAATGCCACAGCTCGAAAGACTGCACAAGCTGCTTCTGGTCCAAGGCATCTGAAGAAAAAGAAAAGGAGCAGTAGGGGGACTGGGGGCTGCACCATGGGGTGGGAGCTTCCTTCTCTACTAAAAGTCTTATTTTTCAGTGGAGCTCTTTTCTCTGAATAGGGGAGCTTTTTTGATATATGAGTCCATATCACATCAGGGACCACATTGTTTCAATATTTTTCAGCCTTTTATCAATACTAAAGACTTTCTGATTTAATTTTTTTTCTGTATCTTTCAAAATATATGTATAATTCTAAATAGTAATAATGTACATATCGCTTTAATCCAATGCCAAATTCTGTAAACTTTCTATAGCATTTACTGTGGGCTGGGCATGATCTAAATGCTGGGGATAGGGTCTTTTAGGGCTTCAGAGACAGCTGCATGAACAGGTTATTAAAATACAGCTTTAGACTGTGTTGAGAGCTACAGCGGAAGTCTGAACTAAAAGTATCATGACAGCTTTGAGGAGTAAAAAGTTAATTCTGATTAGAGGCCTAGGAGTTGTTTGAATTAGGAGCTAAAGGATGAGCAAGATTTGAGCAGGCTAGGGAAGAGAGGGAGGAAACATTGCAGCGTAGGAAATAACATGATCGAAGGCACAGAAGCATGAAATTACACCGTGTGACCAAAAATGGAAAGTATGGTTTCAGAGGAGGGTTCAGTTAATGAATCAGGAGAATTATCAAGAGAAGAGTCCAGTGATTGTGGAGAGTTTGGTGGAGAAGTTAGAATTTTGTTTTGCAGACAAAAGGGAGAAATTAAATATTTTTGAACCAAGTCACAATAGGACCAAATCTGTGCTATGGGGATGCAGAAAGTTTATACAGCAAAGACTTAAGACTCAAGTCTCTCTTAGTAGGCTTGAGAGTCTATATTAAAGTAGCAGCTTTGCAGGCAAGATGGGGGATGCCTTCAGAGGGGATTTGAAGTTGAGTAGATAAAACTTACTAAGCCATCAGACAGAGAGGAATTGAAAGCATTGAAAATCCATTCATTGATTTATGTGAGAAATATTTAGTGGCCACTGGTACAAGAACTGCCTGGTAGTGAAGTACGACTAAAGTATTTTGTGTAG